GGATGCATGCTTGGAATTTTCTAATTAAGTTGGAGGGCGTACCACCTTCATTTCGCGAATTTCCCTCGTTTCTTTACGTTTGAAATCACAGAGAAAAAAGCAGGGCAGAATTATGATTTTAACTTTTCGATTGAAGAATATCACGAAAATTGAGAAGATTTTTTTTATTTTGTTGAGCTCCGTAAAAAAATGATTTTACTAAAATAATTGCTACACTATCGGATTTTTTTTTCTAGATATAATGGAATGCTGCACGAGTTTTTCAACGATATACTCTAAACGATTAATCTTTCAAACATTTTGTTGATAAATTAAAACATGGCAAAAAAATGAAATTCAGACATTATTTTTCCACATCCAGTTCTTATATTAATAATCTTTTTATATTTTTATATTTTTGTAAATCTACAACTTCAATAACGAGTAATTACAAACATTACGATATAATATATACAATATTACGATATCACAAATTGTTACAGGTTTTTTAATCAATTTGTAAAAAATGGATATATGACCGTATTTGAACGAGTAATTAGCAGCTCTACTATAAAATCGTAATTGAGAGGTGTGTGTATGTGTGTGTGCTCGATAAAAAATATTTTCCACAATTGCGTAAACAATGAAGCACCCTACTAATGGAAATATGTTCGGCGAGCGAACATAAAGATACCGGTAAAAAAAAAACTAACTCCAAAACGTTTGAAAAATATAAATATTAGAAGCGAAGGTGGATTAACAAAACAACTCTCACGTGTCGACTCCAATATTTACTGCAATGTATTGTAGCTGCAAATCGTGAATGCACACCAGAATGTAACTAAATGTAGGACGTTTGTAAAATGAACGTTAGTTCATTGAATGTTAGTTGGTGGAACATCGTATCGGAGCCTTGCCCAAACACTCAGCGTCGGCAGATGTTTAGCTTGCCGTATATACTGTTTACGTAGCTTAATCGAAAAATCATAAGTGCGGGCGGTACCAGTAGACGTACGACTATTATACAACGGCGTTCTTCACTCGTGGAAGTAGAACGTTGCCGGAAGCAAAGTGTGACGTCGACTTCCATCCCCTATTTATTTGTGAATTTTTTAATACTATTTTTGGTACAAGAAAAAATATGTTGCGTTTACCGTCTGTACGTTATTTCATTGAAAAATTGAACGTAAAACTAGCAATGAGAGAAATTTTATGTTTATCTTTCACGGTGAAAATGAAATCAGAATGGAATCAGTAAGTGCAAATTTTGTGATGTTTAATTATTTAGCAATATTTCCTTAAAATTAAAATTTTTTTCAAAAAATCCTTCCTTTATAAATAAAATACAATAGAAGATAAATAAATGTATGTATATGGCAAACATATGAGTTGGAAAATATTATATTATACATGCAGAAAGAATGAAATATATATCTTTTTTTGGACTTTTAAAAATTTATTAAAAAGCTCTTTGTTATCAACATAATATACGCCTATTACTGATTTCATTAATAATAAATTTTGCTTGATATTATCAGCAAACATTATCTATAATAACATATTTCATGATAGGTTATTATAGAAAGTCCTGTTAACGTGCTGTAGGATAATTGCGAATTTG